AGATAATCCTAACTAGCTATGGTAAAAGCTGCCCCAATAACTAAGCAACAAAATATCCAAAACAAAGGCAGAAACGAAGTAAACTTGAAACATATATAACCTAAATTTGAACTGCTGTACTCATTGGGCAATCTAATTCAACTAAGCAGGCTGCAGTCCAGCTAATCAGTCTGGAATTCATATGAAACATCAGACCTTAAGACTCATAATAACAACTTAAATAAATATAACCTAGATTCCATTCACTACAATATAATGCACTGCAAAGAAAACTTCAAAGTTCAAATGCATTACATCTTGCAGCCTAATAAATTCCCTTCTAAGCATGCACTTTGAAAATGTAAATCAAATTTAGAACAATAAAGGAAACTTAGAAAGCATTAGAGCTATCAAGGTACCTTTAAATGTGAACTCAAAATCCTGTCCAGAAATCAAATCACCGCGCTCCTCTGCCCAACCCTAGCCTTCTCAGCATCAATAATGGAACCTACCAACCTCACTGCATCATCAAGTTTCCCCTGTGAATTCACTACCACATAATCAAAGTTCTTGACATGCCTCAACTCCTCCCTCGCTGTTGCAACCCTCACAAGCAATTCCTCCTCGCTCTCAGTTTTCCTCCCAATCAGCCTCTCCACAAGTGCCAACTCGCTCTCTGCTACCAAAAATATGAACACTGCAGAATCCTTGAGAATCTTCCTCAGCGTCTGTGCCCCTTGTATGTCCACCCTCAAAACAATATCGAACCCCTTTGCCATGTACTCTCTAATCTGCTTCTTGGGTATTCCTTTGTACTCACCATAAACCAAAGCATACTCCAACAACTCATTGTTTTTCACCATTGACAAAAACTCCTCCTTTGACACAAAGAAATAATCTTTCCCATCAATCTCTCCAGGACGCTTTGAGCGGCTTGTTGCAGTGACAACAAAATGGAGATTTTCCCGTGCTTCTCTTAGTTTGGTGATAATTGCATCTTTACCCACCCCACTAGGACCGCTAATGACAATGATTAGAGGACTTGGGGAGGGGCAGATTGAGTCAGAACTGAAGGTGGTGCGTGTAGAGGACTCGAGGGCACGGAGTAATTCGAGTTTTGAGGCTTTGTCAAGGGCAGGGATGGGATGGGGCTTCTGGGCATCAGCCATTTTTGCTGCAGAAGTGAAGAGCAATCTTCTGGGAAGATTTTGGGGCTTTGCGACAAAGGGTGTGAGCGTTGGTTGCTTGGGGAGGAGAGGAAGAGAAAAGAAGGGTATTGAGAGAGAGAAAGAAGTGTAAAATTTGCGAAACATGAGGCAAGGGTAGGTTTTGGTGGAGCCTTGGGGTCTAGAGATCCAAAAAAGGAGGCGAAATGGGTTGTAACTTATAACTTGTAAGTACCTTATGTAGTTTTCTTGTATCTGTTAGGGTTAGGTTTTGGGAAAGAGAAAAAACCAACAAATAAGACATCCAAGATCCAACCATGGTTCTTTCTGGGATGTCCCCTTCCTCACCGTTGCAAGTCTTTTTTTTTTTGTATCTGACGATGGACCATGTAATTGAAAACATCACTCATATTTATGTAATTAAAAACAACTTCTTTTTTTCATCTAACTTAAATGTGTGATCTGAGAACGATTTCGTGACCTTGACTTGGAGTGGACATCACGCCCCTTGTTAGGATTACCTCATGTTAAGTTTTGGAGGTGTGGTATTGAAGTCCCATTTCTAAAGTGAAAAATAAAAAATAAAGTTGAAATTAATTAAAAATTGTGATAAAAAATTAAAATGAAAAAATTTATCAATAAAATTAAAAAATTTCAATCTATTAATAGTTTGAAATAAAAAATTACAATAAATAATTTTTTTAATTCAAATTTAAACTTTAACCACTAACTACTAATTCTAAACTTTTAAATAAAAAATTTTATCAAATACTTAATTTTAAAATAAATAAATTTATTAAATATTTATCTTTGGTAATTTAAACAAAAACTACTAATTATTACCTTTAAACTACCATATCAAACGGAGCCTTAGTATCAAATAAAGATCCCATATTTCTTCCATTATCCAATCAAAGGATATCATTTTTTTATTGGTGACAAATAAAGATAAAAACTATTAGTGACTCATAAGGGCAGTGCACTATTGGTTTCATGAAAAACGATGGGCACACCGCTGCGCTTGCTACTAAGCTTTGGGCAATTAGGAATGGTCTCACCATTGCTGAAAACCTCCATTTTCACAATTTTATTGTTGAAACTAATTGTCAGGTTACTTTTTATTTACTATTGGGTCTTCCTAATCCTTTTCATCCCACAGCACTTTTAATTATGGATTGCAAGAACCTTTGGCGCATAATCCGCCACACCCAATTGAAGCATGTGATGAGTGATATCGACATGGCTGCTGATACTATTGCTAAGCAGGAAGTCTATGCTCCCCTTAGTTTCTATATTTTGTATGATTGTCCACCCAAAGTGGATCTTTTGTGCCTTGCAGATTATGTAGCACTATGTTACCCCAATCACTAATTGTTTATTTTACTTTGTCATATATAATATTTTTTTCTTATTATCAAAATAAATAACTAATCAAACTAATGGCACTTCATCTTTTTGACTTAATGACTTTTGTTATCTTTGATAGGTGTATCTTATCCTCAATTTATGATCTGTTTAAAAAAATAACTAAATTATCATAGACAAATTTAATGAAATTTATAGAAGTTTGGTATGTGTAGGTCTTTGTCTAGCTTTTAATTCAAGTAAAATTTTGAGAAGTGAGAGAGAATAGGAAAGGCAAAAGTCTATCTTGAGAGGGCAACAAAAAAAGAGTCCTGTGTTCTGATCATGACACGGTTCGGTGAGGGTTGGATCGGCAAAATTTTCCCAAAAGAAGGGAAATAGTACCACGATTGACGGATGATAAAATGGCCCCAAAAAAAAAAAAAAAAAAAACTCACACGAGTGATGGTAACTTTCCTAAGGGGTTACTAAAAGCAAAAGAGCAGTGTTAGGGGCACTCGCCTCTTGCACTCTCCGACCAACACTTCCCCTTTCATTGGGCCACGTAAGCTTGTTTTAAGCCGTGAAGGAAGTGCTACCCCTCACAAACCAGAATAAGGTGGCCCAATAAAAGTGAAAGTGTTGGCCGGAGAGTGCGGGAGGCGAGTGCCCCTAGCACTGCTCAAAGCAAAATGATGGTTTATTGATATGAATAAAAGGAATTAATTTTTTAAAATAAATTTTTGATTTTAAATTTTGTAAATAGATAAACAAGTAATAGAAGATATTTCCCTTAATAGAATTCAATGCAGTTTACTAACGAAGGTTGGATCAAGTGGTAAGCGGCTTGTTTCAGCTTAAACAAGATCTCGAGTTTGAGATCTTGTGCACGCAGTAGCCTTCGCTGGGAGACTCATCCACCATTTTTAGGTGCGTGACGCGGGTCGGGTTCGGATTAGTCGGGGCAAAGCCTCGAATACCGGGCAGAAAATAAAAAAAAAATACAATTTAATTTTGAATTAATCAAAACTTAATATAATTTTTGGATATCGAGAAATTAATAAAAAAAAAAAAAAAGCAAAAGGAATAAAACAAAACATCTAAAAAGAAAAAGGGCTTTTCGTTCCAGAGCCAGAAACTTCAGCGCAACTTCTTTTAATTATAGTACCAGTCTGAATGCGAGCTTCCTACAAAAGACTTAGCGCGTGCCTGATAGTAATACCTTTGCCGCCTTCGGCCCTTCGCCATCGCCAACAACCACTCATTGTCCGCCGCCGATCCTGACTTAAATATCATATTGTCCCTGGAAAAGATAATCGATTTCATCCCGTACCCCAAATTGGTATGTTTCATTGTCTAATTGCTTTCTCCACTCCAGAAGTAAACCCTAATTCTTCACAGGAAATCACCTTTCTACCGGTAATCTGGCAATTCTGTCTATACTGGTCTTAATCTCTGGTTCTGCGGGATATCAAAACCAGCCTTCGGAACGAGATCTCGGTTCTTAATTCCCAATTGTATCATTATTCAACCAGAAAACCCTAGTTCTTAACTACCCAATTCCTAATTTCCTGAACCTTGATTTCGTTTTCCCGATCAGAATCTGCGTCACCTGTTAACTAATTCCACTATCTACCCAGTTAATTTCCAGGCAAAACACCAATACCCAGATCTGCAAAGTATCAAATTTGCACCTTGTTATCTCGATATCGCTTTGTTGATGGGCAGAGTTAGTGTTAATAGAGAGCTCTCCGGACCCTCAACTTCTTCCTCGCAAAACCCACCAGTCACGACCTCTATTTCCCGCACTGAAACCGTAAATGGATCGCATGAATTTAAGATCAGCGGGTACTCGCTTGCCAAGGGAATTGGGATCGGCAAATACGTAGCATCCGAGACGTTCATGGTGGGTGGCTATTCGTGGGCCATCTACTTCTACCCTGACGGCAAGAGCGTTGAGGATAACGCGGTGTACGTTTCGCTCTTCATTGCACTTGCGAGCGAGGGAACGGATGTCCGGGCACTTTTCGAGCTGACACTTTTGGATCAGAGCGGAAAGGGCCATCACAAGGTTCATAGCCATTTTGGGAGAGCACTCGAGAGCGGACCTTACTCGCTAAAGTATCGAGGGAGTATGTGGTGAGTTTTTAGTGTTCTTGTGTTGTGGTCAGCGTTTAAGAGTAACTTATTTTGGTGTTAAAAGCTATATAAATGTAAAATATAAAGAGAGGATTTTTGTTGAATGCTGGAAATTGAGTTAGGAGAACATGGAGTTATCTACCAAATGCTATGTTCTTCCAAACAAGCAATTTTAGTTGGATTTACCTATGTTCAGTATTCTTGTGGGCTAATAACACTAAATAATGTCACTTCCATCTTGCAGGGGCTATAAACGCTTTTTCAAAAGAACTCCTCTAGAGACATCGGACTTCCTTAAAGATGATTGTCTCTCCATTTCATGCTGCGTTGGTGTAGTTAAGTCACAAACAGAGGGACCAAAAATCTATTCAATTGCAGTGCCACCTTCTGATATTGGTCAGCATTTTGGGAGGCTTCTTGAAAGTGGAAAGGGAACTGATGTGAATTTTGAAGTTAATGGGGAAATATTTGCTGCCCATAAACTGGTTCTTGCAGCACGTTCACCTGTGTTCAGGGCCCAACTTTTTGGACCACTGAAGGATAGAAACACCCAACGCATAAAAGTGGAAGATATGGAAGCTCCAGTGTTTAAGGTTCTTTCTCTCTTTCAAGCTGCGATCCTTTTTCTCCCTATTCATTTTTCCCTGGCAAGACAATTGCTTCTAATTTCACTGCAAACTGGATCCAGTTTTAAGCATAGAACATATCATTGGGATTAGTCATAGTTGTAGGATGTTCATTTGACTCTTTACATGTTTTTCTTAATGATGTCTGCTTGTATGTTGTGTTTACGGGTCATGATGTCTCTTTACCTGGACCTATCACAGCAGTAGAAATCTTTTGTTCTGGTTCACAACTTCTCTTTTGTTAGGTTGGACTGTGGGCTATGTGAATTGGTAGCCTCTCTTATATATAAGACATTCTTGCCACTGCATGCCAAGAATTTGAAATTGAGACTTGAAAGTTGGAAGTCCTCTGTTCAACTGATAGGGAAGAAGAAAAGTTATTAGTAATGGAAAAAGTAGATGGATATTTTTTTTTTTATTTGAAAAAAACTTGAACTTTGTTGAGAACATATGATTTTATTGTCATCATTGGAGGTAGATATCTGCGTTGCTGTTACAAGTATGATTTTATGATCAGGACCTCAGGAATACATGTTTTTAGTGGTCTTCAAGTGCTCTATGCTGCTGTTTAGGATCTTATAATCTCTTATTGGTTTTCAGTAGTTTTTTTTTTTTTTTCATACAAGGTATTCTGCGGTTTAAAGGGGAAAAAGCAGGTTTGTTGATTGGTTGCCTACGTTGTGCGAGTAATTGTGGTGCCTTACTTATATACTAATATACATATGGAATCTTCTCCTATGGCTCTGCACTTGTACACAAATCTTAATGTTTGCTTCCTTTCCTACTTCTACCACTCCCTCTCTTTAGTTTGAAACATGGTCAGGCTGGTGGAGTATATATAGTCTCATCTGGAGTAAAATGATCACCTTGTTTGAAAAATAATTTGTCGAATTTTCAGGCATGACTATCAGTGCTTGAGCTATGTTTATACAGTGAGAACACTGCCTTTGACTAAGTGAACCCAGGAGGATTATCTTGCAAATAGTGGCATTGATGTTCTTAAATGACTCAGGTTTTTCTTAACTGAGTTTGATCAGAAATATCTATGTTTCTTTTAATGCTTAAATTTGCCTAGTTTGCATGATTGCAGATAACAGAGAATGAAGGGGGTTATCAGTATTTGGGAAACTCAATACAGATGGCTTCATTTACTTTTGTAGAAAATGGAGTCAGAATAAAGTAGCTGATTTGATTAGCTTGCTTACAAAGAATAGATCCCTAATTTGGACTTGTAGCTGGCTCTTCATGCATTCATATTTTATTTTTCTTGAATTTTGATATTGAACATACTTATATTTCTTAGAATCTGTTCAGTATATTATTTTACAATTAAACTTGCTGATATTTTGTAGAGGTTTCAGTTTTGCTTGACTATTATGAGACAATTTGGTAAGTTTTCATGGACATTATTTCTTTAACCATGGGTTGGATGTTTGCAGGCATTGCTCCATTTCATTTATTGGGATGCCCTTCCAGACATGGAAGAGCTTGTGGGTTCAAACACAAAATGGGCTTCAACACTTATGGCTCAGCATCTGCTTGCGGCTGCAGACCGTTACGCGGTTGAGAGGCTCAGATTGCTCTGTGAGGCTGAACTTTCTGATGGTGTTGCCATAAACACAGTCGCAACTACATTAGCCTTGGCAGAGCAGCATCATTGTTCTCATGTAAAAGATATATGTCTCAAATTCATTGCATTGCCTGAAAACTTAAAAGGTAGGGTGTTTCAATGTCAACTGCATTTTGCTTTCATTGACATGATCATAGGGTTTCTCAAAAATCATTGGTTTTATATAGGTAGTGGAATATGCTAGTACCAAAGAACCACCTAATTACTTATATGTCTGTATGGTGCTGTTGGGTATAGTTAGTGTCTGTATGATTTTATTGGCATTTCATTTGTTAGTGCTTCACCTCTATCTTGCATTGCACTTCTCTTACAACTCCAAACTCTTGTACACAAAGCATGCAGCTTGCTCTTTTCTGTGGGGATCACACTTTTTGCTAAAAGTACTTTCCCTTTTGTGGTTTCCTTTTGCTAAAAGAACAATGGTGGCCTTGTGTTTTCTAGCTGAAAGTGTAGTCAGGATCAGCTCTTTGTTATGTTTTGTGGTTTTAAATTGCACTGGCATGTGCCATACAGCCAGCCATCTTTCTTTCTAATGATCGTGCATGATTGTATCAGTCTGCAAGTTGCCCTTTTTCCGTTTGATTTGACATTGCTGTTTCTTTTTCTCAGTCTTGCTGGATTCACAGTGAGATAATGAGTAGATGACAAGTGCTTTTGAACTGTTTTTCAGCTGTGATGCAAACAGATGGTTTTGAATATCTAAGAGAAAGTTGTCCTTTTATCCTTACTGAACTGCTGCGACATGTGGCCAGAATTGGGGAGTATTCTATCGCTTGTAGAGATAATCAAAATCAGAATGAAGCCCCATTGGACGGTTGTGATGCATATGGACGGCGGGTGAAGCCAAGGTTACATTGATTTAGGAATACCAGATCGCTCATCCTATGGCCAAGGAAGAAACAATAAAAAGTTAGCCTTTTAGCTTTAGCATTTTTGGATTGCACTAACGGTTGAAAATTTATATGAGAAACTTAAGGTTCATGTTGTACAGTCAATTCATATGAATGTAGTTGGATTGATGAGCATAACCTGTTGAAAGATCAATATATTGCTGATGTATGAATGATTGGATCAAGTCATATCCACCATCATATGCATTGTGTTATTGCTCAACCGTCCTTAAGGAGCATCTTAATCCCTTGTATATTACTGGAATTAGCAATCAAAAAATTGTTATGCAATTTAAATTGTCTAATTTGTACAATTTAATACAATTTAAATTTCTAGATGAGAGTAGATTTTTTTGATATTGAGATTATCTCCTCATTCAACGTTTTGTCGTTTTGACATGAAAAACCAGCCCCCAAACTCTCATGTGGAAAATAAGCTCCCTAAACACCGCCGCCCCTCTTTTTTCAATCGGCATAAACCCGACTAAACTAAAATTTGTGGAAAATCACCATATCCTCCTGTGTATATATATGTTGAAGTTAATAAATTAGTGTAGCTCAAGGGGGTTCTAATCTAATGTACCAAAAAAGAAACGCATAAAAAATACACATGTAGCATGATGGAAATGTTGACAAATTCTAATTTAGATACAGCACGAGTGAAGAGAAACAAATAGCCATCCTTATTAAGGTACAAAAGAACAGAATCAATACAAACAGTTTTCACAGATCTAACTCAGCATGGGTAAAACGGGTGAAACTATATGACTTACAAGAGAATGAGAACCAAGAAAGGGATGAGCTTTTCATACATCCAGTAAAGGAATTCCTTTTCCTCACCCTCATACCTGATCAATCTGTATCACAGACCGACGAAGTGAAGCATGGGAATCACCATCTAAACCTACACTTTCAAATTAGTGATTATATAAATATAAATTACAACTTGTAGCTAACTTTGTCGCGTCATTCATTTGTCCACCCAAGAGACTCTGTATGACCTGTATTGGATGACTCTAATTGCGGGCAAATGAATGGACATGAACTAAGTTGCAGTTTGCAGTACACCGAGTTCTTTCTTTCAAACAATTAAGTCAGATAAAGACTGCAGATTATGGAACCAAACAAAACCAACATTAGATTACTACCAGTGGCCTCCGGATCCACTTTGAGCAGCAGCAACTTTCCTTGCCATGTACTGGGGCTTTGGCTGCAAACCATTGGAACCTTCAACAACTTCATCTTCTCCCCTATCAGTTTTACAGATAGAGTTTCTTCTTGGATATGAACCACTTGTTGCAGTATATTGAGTTGAACCTGGGTTGCGAACCATTCTTCGCTGTTCCAGAGCCTCAGCTGCTGCTGCTGCCCCACAATTGTTGTACCGCAATACTGAACTAACTACCTTCCCTGGTCTGGCGCCAGAAGCTGCATTCAAAGATGTTTAAAGGCAAAATGATGTTACATACACAAGTCAATCGGCAAGCAGGTAATTAATGGCACAATACTGGATCATTTGGAGAAAGCTACAATACCTTGGATGCTTTGAGGAACTTGAAGAGGTAGCCTTGTCATAGGGATTCCAGCATTCCTGTCCACCTGAGGTTTCTCAACCTCGTTAATGCAACATTTAGAAAGATCTTCTGTCACATCCGCTGAATTTTGTGCCTTGTTATCAGAATATAACACAGATGGCCTGTAAGCAAACATTTTCATAAGACCACAGATCAATGCAAAACACAGGCAAGATAATATAATAGAAGGTGACTGAGAAATTGATAGCGGCGTCCGACATGCTGTGTAATAGTGGTACCTGGGTAACGATGCATGCTGTCTCTCAGGCGGGGAAACAGCAGTGCCATTTCTATAGTTTTCCTCAAGATAGGCAAATTGCTTCTTGAAATGGTCAACAGCACTACAGAGAAAAACATTTAGATAATGTGAACATCTTAGGATTAAAGCAGTTAATCTTATGAGTTCTATCCAGTGCTGTTGTCTAAAGCAACATAAAAAGAGTACCTATCAAGGAATCCTTACATATGCATAACTTTTCATCTTAGCATCTCTGCCTTAAGGTACGTTCTCCAACTGACTACTAGTCAACAGTCGATATAAAATAAATAAAGAGGATAGGGAAAGTTTTATCCTAACATCATTATTTTCTGAAACCCTTCTTTTGGGGTTAATGGCCCAGGGAAAGATGCAAGAGATTCTTTTCAAAGAATATGGGTATTACTTTTTATTTTAGTACTAGGAAAATCCACACTTGAGAAGGGTAGAACCAGCAATCACCACTGAAGGTTCTGACCCATTCAAATATACCACCATGGTTAAGGGTTCTATTCAAACCAAAATCAATATAACGTTAGAAGATGTTATTATAATTAAAGAGAATCAGAATCCTCTCAACTTTATGATATAACTTAAAAGAAAAAGTTTCCAGCATGGTCACTAAAGATTTATTGAACAAATAACCAATAAAAGTTTGAAAATATTTAAAAGTAAACCATAACATGAAATAATTGCTGAGACAACACGATATGGTTGAGAGAGGTCCAGAAATAGATTATTCCTTTCAACAATACCTTGGATACATGAAGCTTGTTGGCTCTGAACCTTCTAAGTACTCTTTCAACATCTTAGGATGGTACTCAAGTATCTCGCGGTATATAAGTTCGCGAACATCTTCTTTGGTTATCCTCCGTCTTTCAAATTCAAATTCCATCTTCGTAACTGGTTGGGCTGAAGGCTCTCTTTCAACCTTGGCCAAGCCCTTAAAATATGGATCAGCCAGGGCCTGACAACATGCAAAGAAATTATTCCTCTGCTAGAAAATACTATGTATGATTGATAAAGGCGAAAAGATTCAAGACCAGTATTCACCTCTTCAGCACTAGGTCGATCCTTGGCTTCGAATGCCAACATTCTTTCTAACAAACACAGTGCAAGAGGATCTGCATTGGGGAACTTCTGGGAGAACAGAATGGGCTTCTTCTTTCTCATGCTACTTAAGTATCTCCGAGCTTTCTCATTTCTTACCTGTTCACATAATGTCAATACATTATTAAAGTATAGCACCAAAAACGTATTCCTATGATGACAAGTTTATCGTAGCAAACGGACCCGGGCAATGGCTTCGGCAGATGGTGTTCCCAGTAGATCAGTCATCAGATCCAATTGATGAACAACATTTTTTCCAGGGAAAAGAGGCTTCCCAGTTAAAAGTTCTGCAAAGATGCACCCAATGCTCCATATATCTATTGCTGGAGTATACTGAAAACAAGAAATACAAGAGGTTGTTGAAACTTGAAATGTGCTACTAAATCGAACATATCATATAAGAAAAACTTTCCACCATAAGAACTATAATATTAAACCCAGCTTAAGCTTGTTAGGAATGTAGAAACTTACTACCAAATTGTGAAGAATCAATTAAAGTCTAGGTTTTTTTTTTTTTTTTTAATCTGAAAATAAATTCAAGGTTTAGCCATTGTGAGGATTTGAACCTCTGTCCCTAACCCCAAAATTAAGGTTTTCAAGTTAGTGGGTATTGTCTAGCTTTTCTTAAGAGGTAAGGGATAAAGTTACAATGGTTATTATTCCTTCCAATGTTTAACCTATCATGCCATTAATAACCATTTGTAAAGTCACCATGCTCTCCTCAATTTTGTGTTATTTTCATGCAATAATCATTCATGTAACTAAACATGACTAAAGAATTGCTCCAATCCTAGAAACAATCAGGTGTTGGAGAACTATGTCACTAGGTGCTAAGCATACAACTTAAATTTGAATAATACATAAGAAAAAGACCATCTAGGGGTGAAAAGGGCCTAGAAAGATATAAAAGGCAACTTATTGAGCTTTTGAGTCATCCGAAGTTTGCAGTGTGGGATCAGAACAGAGAACAATCACTAAATCCTAAAAGGAAATTTAAGGCCAAAAACTAAGGAAATATCATAGCCAGAACAACAATTATGTTGATAGATGGAAAATCAAGCAAATAAAAGAAACACAGTAACATCCATCCACCTTTGAGAAAAAGGATCCACATAATTCAGGTGCCCGATACCATCTTGTTGCAACATAGTCCTGTGAACCAAAGAACCAAAATGTTCAATTCTGAGCTAACAACCAAAAAAATTATAAGTCATTTTCACAAATGATTGTAATACATGCCAAATTGTGCAGTTGCACTTACGGTCCAGAATATGGCAGTCGGTGTGTCATTAAAAGCTACTCTAGCAAGACCAAAGTCACATATCTTGAGTTTGCAATCAGCATTTGCTAATATATTTTTGGGTTTTAGATCTCGGTGAAAGACATTTGCTACAAGAACATCAAGAGAATGTCAGAAATGCAATACTTAAGAAGAAACTAAATTGCCTGGTTCCATATGCTCAATTCAAAATGTTGTATATACCTCAACAAGTGGGTATAACATGCTAAACAGTTAAGAGAATGACCTGTATGTATGTATTTCAGGCCTCGTAGAAGCTGATAAAGAAAAAACTGGTAATGTTCTGGAGTCAAATCATCATTTGCCTTAATAACCTGGTGTAAATCAGATTCCATAAGTTCAAAAACCACATATATGTCTTTGAATTCTCTCCTGGATGGGGGCAGCAAAATGTGCTTGATCTCAACAATATCGGGATGGCGCAAGATTCTAAGAAGTTTGATCTCACGTAGTATACGTGTAGCATCAGATACATGTTCAAAGATATCATTGATTTTCTTAATTGCAACTTTTTCTCCAGTATGTGTGTCATATGCAGAGCAAACAACACCATAGCTTCCTTTACCAATTACTTCCTCTATTCTGTACCTGCTCCCCTCACCATACTCGGTGAAAAAGTCTACATCTACAGATGACTGTAATTTAACAAAAAAACGAAAAAGCAAGCCCATTTATCAGCATAAACATGCTAGTTTACTACATATTACGAAGAGTTGGTATCAAACAAAATTAAATCACTAGGAGGAAGTGGCAGTTGCTCTATTGCATGAGGTATATATAATTATTTCTTTGCAACAAAACTTTGATCTTAGTCCCATGTAAACTAAGAGAATTCAGTAAAATGAGAAGCAAATAAAGAGATGAAAGAAAATTGGGACATAATTGTATAAGCAATATGTTCTTGAGTACAGAACTAACATATCAGATATCTCAAACATCAAAAACAATGACAGTTAGAGCTCCTAAGCAACCGTATATCCAGAAAATAAGTGGATATACGCAGACCAAACAAAAATTTTTACAAGACAGACACCTTGCCAGTAGTAGGGCCTCCCCAAATTGCAAATGAGGACAGAAGCACGTGGCAGAGAAACCAAGACAAGTGGATGGCATAATGTTCCTTCCCATCTGTATACAGGAATTATACGAACAAAAGCAATAAACTGTCCAGTAGAATTGAACCACAAAGGAACATGATATTGGCTTTCAATCAAAACAACTTAAAAATTCCACCCACTACAGTCACAAAGTTCAAATCTTCTAAAGGCATTCGGATAACATGTTCATCATCCATACAACTGAGTAAAAATCTAGCAAACGTTACCTTTCTTCGCTGATCAGGCTGCATCTTAGATTCAAACTCGCTGAGGCCAATATATTACCAAGAGCATCTAACAATCCCAAAATTGAAGAAGAAACCAGCTTGGTAGAACACCCAAAACCCAGATCACAAAGATCAGAGAAAACCCACCAAAACCCAACCCAAATCCCCCAAAATCAAAAGTACCCAGATGACAAAATGACCTAACCAAGACCAACCGCCCCTGTAAATGCTGAGATCAAAACCCTAAGGAATTCAAATACCCAATACAGAGACAAAAGAAGCTGAAGCGGGCAAGTTAAACTCTTTAGAGGCTAACGCAAAAAAACTTTTGGATTTAACAGAGAATAAAGACTAAAACTAGACAGAACAGAACCAAATGATGTTGGAGATGGGGTCTAAATTATGTAAGCTGGAAAAGGAGAGATTAAAGATCAGGGTTCTTGTTTTCCAGAGAAACAATAACTTAGTGAATCTCAAGAAGGCGATGAACACAATGGATTTCGTATTGTGATGAAACAAGAAAAGAAGGGAAATTTACACTAAAACTGTTGGTAAAGCTTGAATCTTTGTGACGAAAAATGGAAATGCTTTTGGATCTCAAAGTGGGAAAGATTGCGAAATCTAAAAATCGAGGAGCTTGAATAGTTGAAGTTGAATGCTTTTTAACAGCTACGGGCAAGGTCGGGGAGAGAGAACAAGGAGACGAACGAAATTGACTTATTATTTATTTAGTAAAATAATTTGACGAATGAAATAGGAAAATATCATAATTATTTATGGATTTGAAAGACAACTTTGACACTCAACTTTACCAAAAATTAAATTACCATTTTTCACGCGGATTTATTTGTTCATTTCTGTTTTAGATTTTTTTTTTTTCTCTGGTTGTCATGGGAGGTTATCATCAACAAATGAACATTCAAAGATACATATACCCATTATTAGAAATCGTAAAATTTTCCTTCTTATGTTGAAACAATTTATTCAAAAATACAAACGAGAGATTGGATCAAGTAGTAAGTGGCTTGCTCCAGCTTAAATAAGGCTTCGAGTTCAAGACCTTGTGCACGCAGCAGCCTTCGCTGGGAGACTCACCCACCATTTCCAGGTGTGTGATGCGGTTGAGTCCAGATTAGTCGGGACAAAACCTCGGATACCAGGCGGAAACCAAAAAAAAAAAACAATTTATTCAAAAATTATATAAAAAATAAAAAAAATATTATGATTATTATAGCATGTGCTATTATAATTTATAATATGATATGTTTTTATATAATTAATTTTTTTATTTAAGAGTTTGTCTTAATATATATATATTATTTTAATATTATATTATATTTATTTAATATTATATCATAATTATAAATATCTAATTTTATATAATATTGTAACTATAATATTATTAAAAAAAAATCAATTTAAAAGTTAAATATGAGATCTCTAATTTTGAGATTAAAACACTTATATTGAACTGATTTTAGGTTCGGAGAACATTAACAAATAATTATCCTTGGCTTATTGTACCATATGCTTAATGGGTAATTATGGTTTTTTATGTCCTTTCATAAAATAGGGAATGGTCGAGTTTATTTTACCAACCGACCAACATGATCTTGCAAGGGAAATCATTAGATATTTCTCCGTTATGGATAAGTCATAAGTCTAGCAAATCCAAATATTAAACCGAGTTGATGGTTGATAGGTCCAAGTTTGTTCATACATTTTGAGCATGGAGTAATTTGGGATGTAAAAGGACCTATCTAATAGTGATACAAAGTGAGTTGATGCTTTTGCTCTTGAATTTTTCATTTTGAGATGGAATTCAATATCTTAGACTTATATATAAATGTTACATAAAATACGTAAGTATTAAGTTTTTATTATAACTAGCTAACATTTATTATTTCTTTATTATTAACCTTAAGTATGCAGAAACCACAATGAATCTTGACTAATCTATAGTTGAGCCAAATCAAACTCTATATGGAGGGGAACTTTTTCAGCGCTTATTTTTTCATTTACAAAACTCAAACTCAAAATCTTATTTAAAAAGAACCGGACTACTTCTATTTAGACTAACATATTATCAAGTCATTAATTTTCCAATCAATGGTTAAAAATAATTACATTATATTTAACAACAATTTAAATCATTGGATTTATAAAATACTTTATTATTTTCACTTATATTGTTTGGATTTATAAATCATTAATTGCTAATTTATGTAAGGAAAATGTTATAGTTACATTATGATATAATATATTATTATATAATTAATTTTTTTTATTTAAAGATTTATCCATTATATTGTATACATTCATTTGTTTAATATCACATTATACTCATTTAATGTCATATTATAATTATAAATTTACAATTTTATATGACATTATAATTATAATATTACCCTGCAAGTCTTTCATATGTATAAATGAAATTTTAGTTATAATTAAATATTATATTATTAACGTTTTGTTATTAATATATTATGAAATGTAATTCCTCCTTATCCTTTTGGCATATAAGAATGCTAAACTAAAAATAAAATATGAAATATAAAAAAAATTATAATCTCATCACATCGTTCATCTAGTGGTTAGTTTATCGTTGAGAGTTACATGATGGGAAATGAGCTTTATTTTGGTCCCTTATCTCTAGTCTCACCTTAAGCATTATCTTGTCAAATCTTTGGCCCTAAATTCAAATAATTTATCTTGCCTTGCTTCAGCTTGATTCACCACTATCTTATTATTTTCATGTACAAGAGATTTTTTTTTTTTCTTAGTTGTTCAATGAGAGGTGACCATCTCTCATTATTTATCTCATTCCATCCGCGTATTATACGACTCGAATTTAAAATCTCTTACTTTCAACGGAATGAGATAACCACTGAGTTATACCATGTATGAGAGATTAATTGAACCTATAACTTATCTCTTCCCTTCCAACACATCTCAAATTTTCTTTTACACGGAATATAAATGCATATTCATGGTATAGATAAAATAATTACATATAACACAGTTTAAGAAAATATTGAAAAAAAATGCTATTTACAAGAATATAAATAGTTAATTATTTAAAATCTCTAAAAGTAATAAATCTTTCACCAATCGATCCTAAGATTTTATTAATTATTAATTCTTCTCAAATTATATGATTAAAACCTAAAATAATTGGATAATTACTGTCAATAACTTAAGTAATTTAGTAGTCATTTCTTTCCGTTAGAAATAAAAAGTATTGAATTCAAATCGCATGACATAAGGGTGAAGTGTGATGAGAGAAGAGAGATGGTGGGCCGAGGATGAGAGATGGTAGACCTCCCATTATGCAATCAAGATAAAAAAAAAAAAATTGAACAATTACTAAATGCTAGTTCAATCTTTAGCAATATACTCTCTTTTTGTTCTAAGTTTTATCATCATTTTTCCTATGCACATTAATTAGATATTTTCTGTTCCTAAATTGTTGGATTATTTTTTTAAAAAAAAAAAAAACATTGGGAAATTTAAGAGATGAAAGGTATTTTTTCAAGACATTAATAAGAGTTGAATTTTCACTAATTAAACCGAAACATTTAAAAGTTAGGAACAATCACTAAACCCAAAAATTCGGTTCAAATTGTTGGATTAGTTTATCATACTAATCCGACAAAAGCACATTATTAAATTGCGCAACTAAAACAAAGAATTGTATTAACCGTGTAATGCTTGTCCAAGTGTACGTCAAGTTCCAACAAAAGAATTACATACTAGTACGAAAACAATCCGACCAGGTCCCGACATAAGGCAACATTCATATCTAGTTCGAAGGAATCTAATAATTGCATGTGCATCACATGTGGGCTTTAAAGTGGGTAAGAATCTTTTTATTCACTGGCTGATCTAGGAATGCCAGATTATCACAAAGTCAAAATCATGGATACTTCTTAATCGGATCCATGCCATGTCTAGTCTATTTTGTTTTGCCTACATGTGATGTCCAAGTCGGGTTAAATATGCAACAAATTGCAAGTAACTTCATTTTTTTTTTTTTTTACAGAAAAAAATATAATTTAGTATTTGTTCAAGAAAAATCGAATTTTAGACTCGACCATTAGACTAAAGTGTGTTTCATTTGCTTCTCAATTTAGAGAAGTGTGGCCACCATACGGTCACCACTGTAGCCATATGAGAAAATGTTGCAAGTAATTTCATTTTAAATTTTGTTAAAGATAAACTATTATTTTTAAAAAAGTTTCTTAATATATAAAAATATATATATAAATTAATATATAAAAAATTACATTTATTACAATTTAACCTTATAAGTATAGGTTAAACAAATTATTTTTAAAAGTATATAATAAAAAGAAAATTTTCTTTAAGTATAACTATAATTTTGGTATTATAGATAATTTTTGTGCATCATATTAAGTTAATTTTTTTAATAGATTAAAAATAGTAATCTATATTAGAACTAAAAAGTTTATAAAAAATTACATCTACTCTTCATTTCGGATCAAATTTTGATCCCCCAATATTTTCCCTTTCAAATTAAGTTGTAGTATATGCATGTGGGTTGTTTCAATACCGCACTCAGAGAAGAAAGGATATGAACTTGCATAAATCACAAAAATAACTTACATATAAAGGAAAAAAAGTCCATTTTAGAGGAAAATAGTTGATATAGTGATACTAGAAAATATTTTTGTAATTTATCTGCATTTAATCTATAAAATATTAATTATTAAATTAAAAACGGAACTTCATGGAGAAGATGGAGAAGGACTTTATTCTTGTAGTAAAAAGGAAAAAGGTTATGTTGGCAAAATGGTATGGTGGTAATAATAAGCTCCACAAAGGGCAATGTAAAGTGGAAGTGGAAAAAGAAAAAGGTTTTTTATATAAATGTTAAAAAAGAAAAATATTTTTGAAATAAAATACAGTACATAAAAAAGGAATCAGAGACAGCGCCGAGTCCACGCGCTTCTCCTTAGGGATGATGTAACTACGTGTTTGGGACCCACAACAGACAGCCTAAGCCAGGCTTGTGGTGTGTAGAATTCGGTGGGCAGAGCGTCCACTTCACTCGCTTGCAGAGGCGTCTGTGAGTGTGAGACAAGTGCATGCTTCGTGTCCATTAGATTCTTCGGCATGAAAATTCCTCGGCAAAATGGGCAAATCAGCCCTTGTACTCTGGGTTTGGTGGCAAGACAGCCTTCGACTAAAAACAGTGGCATATGAACTCTCAAACTATTGGAATGGTGGAAAATCAGCCCCTTTTATGGCAACTGATGCCAGCAATTTGGTTAAAATTAATGGAGCACATGTTTTGGTATGATTCCTAGCTTACCTAGATCCATGTAGTCTCTTGTTGTCTGACATGGCCCTCCATGCATTTAAATTTAATTTAGTTAGATCTCTCTTTTTTTGAATTTAACATAACTAAATAATCAATGTTGTAAATTAATTTAGAATTTTTTTAATTTATATTCTAAGAGCATATACTAAGAGTGCATTCACCTTTTCATCATTAATTTGTATGAAAAATTACAAAAGCAAATTTTATTATCAAACCAATGTGTAATACTTTAATTGGATGAATGATAAAACTTCAGTCAATTTTTATTTTTTTTATATTAATTAATGGTGAAGGAGTATAATAAATGTATCTTTAATATGTTTGAAAAAAACATAGATTTAAAAACATATTAATTCATAAGTTGAAATTTTATCTTCTTATTAAAGATCATTGTGTTTTTAATTTCTTTAATTTAAGAGTAAATATAAGTTTTAAGTTTTTTTTAGCATTTTTATCTTTTTACAGTACTAATTAACCACTGGGAGCAAAAATAAATATTTAGGTCATTGTCAAAATTAGCTGTGGTCCCCACATGAAGGTGTTTACTATTAGAGTTAATTGAATTGCTGACATTATCTGTCATAAAAGGCCTGATTTTCCACCATTCAAGGAGTTTAAGGGTTTAAAAGCCCCTAGTTTTAGTTAAGGGGCTGATTTGCCACCAAACCCAGAGTACAAGGGCTGATTTGCCCTTTTCTAAAATCCTCAACCAGCTCCAGTTAAGAGGGGTACAAACTATATCACGCGCTTCAGTGCACGCGGACGTGTTGCCAGCCGCGGTGTCCGCGGAATATCCGGACTAATTTCGGCCTTCTTGCGCGATATAATTACACGGTACTGACTCAGGAGTGTTTGGTAAAGAATTGCATGATTAACGGTTTACACCGACATGAATAAAAAAATTTTCCTATCATTAGTAAGACTAAAGGGATTCCAGCACCGACCGCATTTCTCTCTCTTTTTTTTCCTTTTTTGTTTAATGAAAGTACATAAATACATATTTAAATAAATAGAAATTGGGGAAAGAGATTTGGGACTTAAATATGCAAATTATTCCAGCACCGACCGCATTTCTCTTTTTTTTTTCTCCTTTTTTTTTTTTAATGAAAGTACATAAATACATATTTAAATAAATAGAAATTGGGGAAAGAGATTTGGGACTTAAATATGCAAATTATAAAAACTAATTCACATTAATTTAACGTCAAATCACTATCCTAGAGCATGGATATTGCCCATTGCATTACTTTTAATAATATTATTAAAGAAGAAATTCATCTATGTATTGAGGGATGAATTTGTATGGTCACAGCACTAATAACGTGTGCGAATCCACATCAGTAAGGGCCTGCAACACTCATTTCCCATATTGAATGTGTAATTCTTATTTCTTAGTAATTGTTGTAATGGAATCAGTATCGTCAGAAACGAGACTCATGCATTTCGCTGGAGGCATCACAGAATGTAACCCACTCCAACATCTATTTTCACATACCTAGTCAAACATGGCTAGATTTATTTTGGTGACATGACTGGGCATTTCTTAATGGTCATGTCCTTTGTAACGATATTCACTGATGTATCCTGTGACTCCTAACAATAGAAAAAGAGCCTGCTTTACTACATGACTCCCGTCAAAGGACAACAATATGATCTACATAGCTCCCCGCGATGGGCAATGAGCCAAGCATCTATCTCTACATATGGTTCCCATTGATGGACAAAGGACCAAATTTACTATCTTATTTAGCCTCCAACAATGGACAAAAGGCTACACATTTCTATATATCTTCATTACATTTGCTCTCGACAATGGATAAAGGGTCGGATTTCAACATATTCTATCTCACTGGCTCTTGAAAACGGACAAAGAGTTAGCGCAACTCGGTACAATTAGCGTGAGGCCGGTACCAGTTGAAACCCTGCAATCGAACGGGATGGATATCCTCCAGCGATAAAAATCCATCAAGTAGCAATCGATGGTCCCTTGGTGGTTGCCTGTGCATGGTGGGGCGGTGCCTGGCGGACAACAACAACCGAGACCACCCTTTGACGATGCGAGTACGACAAGAAGAACTAACGTTTGTTAGTGGTATCACACCTTGTCGTATCGAAGGCCATGGATGTGGCTTGCGTCCCCCTTCCATGGAGACAACTCCACATTTCTTTATACATATTCATCGCTATGGCG